ATGGCAGGGAATGTGTTTACTTTTTTAGTTTTGATTTTGAGCAGCAAATTTGGAGTTACATATTGGTGCTCACCAGGAATGCATAGGCAAAATTGCACAAATTTTCACTTGAAAGAATAGTGGCGATCTTGGGATTTTTTTCTGTTCAATTTTCAAACTGTGTAAATTTAATACGCTTCATCTTCAGCATGTTTAGTGCCACTTTTGTAAGTAACCACGCCCCCGTCCAAGCCACGCCCCCGTCCAGGCCACGCCCCTTCCGCTTTTTTCATCACTCGCCATTGCCATGTATGATAAACTCGTTTCTCTTTGACGAGTCGATCCCATCTGGGGGTCATGGGAAACACCGAAACCCCCTCTAGTGTGGTACTTATTTCCAGTCTACTTTTTGGTAGCTGTCATTGTAGTCAGATATTTAGTGCTTTTTTTTCCCCAGAGGTTTTGAAGGCTTCATTGCCTCATTTACTAGCCTGTCAAAATAATGCGCTTGGTGCGTGACAGTCACATGTAGCGATAAACATTTTTCTTGGAATTTGTAGGCTGTTTTCTCTTCGGTTTCACAAATTGGCGTTCTGACATTTTCGAGGAACAAACTCTCCAAATAATTTTTTTTTTCATTATCTTTGCTAGCTTCTAGGTTTTGTTTTTTTTTTAAAAAAATTTATTTTTTTTAAACAAATGTATCACATGCCCGAAATGAGCAGTTTGAGTTGTTTGTACAGAGTCACGGGTGGCTGCTGCACTTGATTCTCTAAACAAAAATCCTTTCAGACTCTGAATATCAATGAAATGTTTCTTGTTCAGTATTTCTGTGCGGTACCAAATGTCCCACGAACCAGTTCCAGTCCATGGCCCGGTGATTGAGGACCGCTGCTTCAAATGACGTCAGACCTAAAGTCCGGCGTGATGTTAAAAATACAGATGCATCACAACAAATTAGAACATCAGGGAAAATTTGATTTCACTGGTCATTTCAAATCGGGAAACAACAGCTGTTTCATAATTCAGCTCAAGAAACAAAACATTTTTGATAGTTTTTGAATCTATGAAACCTTTCACTGATTATTTAGGTGCACTTGTGTGACAATTGCCAGAAGAAATGAGTCTCTGGCATCAAACTTTCACCTTTCGCCTTCCTGTCCCTGTTATGATTCTAATCTCACCCCCAAAGGTGGAAAATTGCCAGTTTATTTTTGGTCTCACTTTTTTTCTCCCCTGTCTGTGCCATTGATAAGAATTTCACAAGACTTTCGTGGACTTAAGTCATGTTCCTTTTTCTGTTTTGTTTCATGTCAGGCTGGTTTGTCACTGAGAGAGAGGCTTCAGATTGCGCTGGATGTTGTGGAGGGGATCCGTTTCCTGCACAGTCAAGGCCTTTTGCACCGAGACATCAAGCTCAAAAATGTTCTGGTAAGTGCGAACACGAGCGAGTGCTAAAATTGACAAGCCCACTTGTGTTATTGCATTTGAAGGCATTTGGATGTCCGAATTAACCAATTTGTTGGCCATCTGCGTAGACCTTGGATATTTTTGACTCATACTCACGTCATTGTTATTCAACCACACAGCAGTGCAATTGTTTTGTGGTGTCATGTAAACGTTGTGAAGATAAAAGAAGATTCAGGCCGAAAAACTACACCACTACTCTGCCACTATTTCTCTGGTTTACACATTCCATTCCCATTTTAACACTCAAGATTTGTTCTTCTTCTGTTGACTAATCATCGTTGAGCGGTGTGTCAAGTTCCCTCCACACCCATGCGTGAGAATTTGTACCCGCTGAATATTTATGCATTTTTTATCCCCTGCACTACAGTCTATAAACATATTTAAACTTACAAAAAAAAAAAAATTCCACACATTATAAATGTATTTTGAACACAAAATAAATTACAAGCACTAAATACCTAGAAAACACTGTACTGATTGTAGTATCGGTGTATTAGTCATGTGCCATTAAGAGGCGGGTCCTGGTGGTGTTATGTTGCCGTGTGAGTGCCTGGCCGTGAGCTGTGGCCGACTGCAGCTTCTGCGCGAGAGTGCTTATTGTTTTGACTGTTGTCTTTCATTCCTTCCTTCCTTTCACATCGTAGCTGGACAAGCAGAACCGGGCCAAAATCACAGACCTGGGCTTCTGTAAACCAGAGGCCATGATGTCCGGCAGCATTGTCGGAACCCCCATCCACATGGCACCGGAGCTGTTTACGGGTACTGTCGCTTTTTCGTCACACTGTCCCCGAACATAATGAATACAAATACACGCCTCTCCTGTTATTGCTGCCTGCTCACAGGAAAATATGACAACTCTGTTGACGTCTATGCCTTCGGGATCCTCTTCTGGTACCTGTGCACCGGTTCTGTAAAACTCCCGGAAGCCTTTGAGAAATGCTCAAGCAAGGACCAACTCTGGAATAATGTCAAAAAAGGTGATCACGCGTCCTCAATAGACGCATCGATAGATGCTTTCGATTGAAACAGTGGTGTCTTGAGATATGATTTTCATTTATTCTGTGACCATGCTCATTTTAAAAAAAAAAAAAAACTCCCCTGGCTCCTTCTGGCGTGCACACCTTGGTGTACGGATATATATGGAGACGGTCAGTTGTTTTTCGGAAATGATAAAAAATACATGCCTAAGAGTATTATTCTATTGTCAGTCTAGATGTGTTGCACCACTGCTTGTGTTCAAATGTCCGTTGCGTAAAGGGTTAGAACAGAGTGACCCAATGCTGCTGTATTTGTCAGGCCTTAATATGGCATTTTTCACCGTGTTGAGTTCACCACCACCATCCAGTGATTGTAGCTCAAATTTTTGCTCTCAAGTCAAAGCAAAAACTCAGTCGAACAAACAGCTCACGTTCCAAGTCAGGTCACTCATAGCTAAACACACCTGTGGATTTTTTTTCATCCTCATGGGATCGTTACGTCACTCACAAATCCCAACGTTTTAAAATTTATTCTGGAAAAGCACCCGTTTTAGTCACTTCCATGTCCCCGTGTGGCCTCCAGGTGCCCGACCCGAACGCTTATCCTCGTTCGACGAGGAGTGCTGGCAGCTGATGGAGGCCTGCTGGAACGGCGACCCTTCCCAGAGGCCCCTGCTCGGCATCGTGGAGCCCGGCCTGCAAAGCATCATGGTCCGCCTGTGCAACTACGACTCGGAGCAGAAAAGCAGCAGCCTGGAGGACTCGAACTGAAAACACTCCCGACAAACTAATGCACACGTCATGGGGATCGTGGTCGTCAAAATATATTTTTTTCCTCATATTTATGAAAGGACGCTTGATAGCCAAAAATTGTGACCCATGTCTTTGTCCTTGTTCACGTGTGGGGATTTATGTAATTTATGAGGGGATCCAGATGTTTGCAAAGATGTTTGTTTTATTGTTTATCTGTATAGAAGTCCTCCACTTTGACATGCTAACTGCCACTCATTCACAGAAAATGTTACTAGATGCAACTTTTAAATGTCGTCCGTTACAAGTATTGTGAGCAAAAAAAAGATAAGATACATTTTAGACTGTATTTAATGTCTGCATCTACACCAATACCCTTTTTTTAAATAAAAGGATCTGTTACAACAAGTCAGATGTTATTGCTATTGAAATACTTTTCCACCCTGTCTTGTCATGTGACACCCGAGATTCGACAGACTTGTCCCTGCTTCCCACTGGAACAAATGAATATACTGCAAGCCTTTTTCTTCCCCGCCTTTCCTTTTCTGTTTAGCTCCCACATGCAATTTCTCATTTGTTGATATAAATGTTTAAAAAAAACACATAAGCTAGATGTGGATGTACGTCGTTGGGTGTTAGAGGTGGCTTGAGCCAAGCCCGTGAGAACCTGACCTTGAGATCAAAGGTGAAATCCCTCTTCAGACGGAAAAATAGGGAAATTAGGATTGCTGTCATGTTCAATTTGATGTTGTAAGGGTTTTGTTTAAAGAAAGCCCCCCAAACTGCTGACCTTCCGCAACATCCACACCAATTCATTCAACTGCAACGAAATCAAATTATAACCTATACATAATTTTCACTCCGCAAAAATAAATAAATAAAGCAAATTTGAGGTATTAACAGCTTTGCAAAACTTAATTCATACAATTTTGGATAAAAGGTTAAAATAAACGTCACTGTATCAGTTTTGACAAACAAGGCATTATTTGGTTCAGGACAAAAAAAAATGAATGTAATTTCTGTAGTCTGCAGAGCCAAGCATCAGCGCCCCCTAACGGCGTTCTTTGGTTGTATCGTAGTTGGAAAAAAAGTGTGCCTCACAGTGCAGAGGTGCAGGGTTTGATTCCAGCTCAGGCCTTCCTGTGTGGAGTTTGCATGTTCTCCCCAGGCCTGCGTGGATTTTTTCCGGGTACTCCGGTTTCCTCCCACATTCCCAAAACGTGTGGGAGGTTAATGGAACACTCGAAATTGTCCCAAGGTGTGAATGTGAGTGCGAATGGTTGTCTGTCCTGGTGTGCCCTACGATTGGCTGGCAACCAGTTCAGGGTGTCCCTCACCTACTGCCCTCGGAGACGGCTGGGATAGGCTCCAGCACGCCCCTGCGACCCTCTGAGGATAAGCTGATTAGAAAATGGATGGATTAACCAACATTGAGCATCCTTAATTAGCCGTTAAAGTTGTTGCGGCATCTCTGCAGCCGTCTGGTTTCTAATGTCATGAGCGTCAGCTGTCAGAGGCGAATCAATTTGTAGTGAATTTGTAGAAATGCTTTGATGAGCACAAAAGCGAGCTTTTAAAAGTGAAGGCAGCTGATGCTGAGAAATGGATGCGGCTTCTTAGAGCATCGTGAGCCTAATCGCATCATGCTGTGTATTCAATCGCTCCCAGTGGCTTCTCGGCACGCTTGCGAGGAAACGAGCGTCTGACTCTTTCATGTCCTTAACACGAAGATTGAGCATTACTTCTCGCTGAGGGTCACACACAAGGCTGGAACACGGCTCGTATTGTTGGCCTCTGACCTTCATTTATAATGACCCTTTTTTATATATTTCTATCCAGTATGTGCCCATATATAGATATATTACGGAAATAACAAGAACAATTAAAAAAATAACGATCTTTAAAGGAAACGCCACATTTAAAGCACAAAGAATTTAATTCATATGTCCGGAAAATGGACAACAATAAACGATAAATAAATTGCTGCCAGTTGAGAGAATTTGCCACGGAATGTAGATTTTTTTTTTTCTCTTTCTGAATGCATCTCCTGCCAACAATAGATGTTTTTATCTCACTTTGTTTTACATTTACGAAACTGGTACTGTTCGATACTGATTATGATTGATGTCGCAATTCCTAGCATAATGATCCCTCGCAATTTTTGAACGTTTTAGAGCACAGGTGTCAAACTCAAGGCCCGGGGCCCAGATCCGGCCCGCCAGGTCATTTTAAGTGGCCCGCGAAAGCAAATCGTATGTGTCAACTTGGTAAAAATCTGTCCAGAAATGTCAAATTGTCATGTGTAATAAATAACGTTGAGATTATGCAATAATTTTACGACCCCGTTGACACTCACTTGAACAATAATTGAACAAACTATGAAAATTGACTTGACTGATTTCAAACCTAGTCATCTATTTATTCGTTGTGTACAAGTAATAATTTTGTGGTCTCACTGTCATCATGGCCCTCCGAGGGAAGATGTAACTCCAAATTGGCCCATGACTAAAATGACTTTGACACCCCTGAGGTTTATCTTTGGGCCAAAATTGGTCATCATCATTTTCTTGGACACAAAAAAATGGATGGGTATGGGACAAGGCAAACAAGAACCACAGAGTGCAGTGGCAGTCACAGAAACCCCATCTACAAGCTTTTTTTTTTTTTTTTAATGGTGGTGCAATGAAAACACATTTAAAGTCCACAGTTGGTCAACATGGCAAATTGTAGATTCCAAGAGAGACATCCCTACAATCAGTTTACATATTTACTTTCATTTACAGGCCACACTGTACAGTAAAAACAGATGACATGGCAATATTCATCATTTTGAATTATTTTACAAAAAACGCGCCACAGCTACTCTAGGAAAAAGAAAGCCGTTATTTCATGGATGGAAATGTGTCCTCCCCCGTTGGATGAAAAACAAAACCAGAGCGCTTCAAGTCCATCCCAAAAAAAAAAAAGTGCTCTCCTCAATTTCCAAAATCACGAAAATAGTATCAAAAATCCTTTTTTTAATTTTCTTTTTTAGGTGTACATACACAAGCAGATGTGTGCCCTTGTTGATATGAACCACAGGCTGGAAAAATTGACCTTCACTTGATTGTTGATGCTGCTTGGACAGACACGCACGCACGCATGCACGATGACATCAACTTAGCGCAGTCCGTTGTCACCAAGTTGTTTTAGCTGAATGTTCCCTGAATGTTTGCGAGCTTCATTGTTCCACAGATGTACACTATTAAAAAAAATGTACAAAATTTTAAAAAAAGAAAGAAAATTAGGGCGGCAAATGAAACCAAAAGTGCATTTTTTTAAATTCAAGTATGCCACAAATCTATTTGAAGGGAGATACTTATGTTCCGTCACGGTGCTCAAGCCTGAGCTTTGGCACACACACACACACACACACACACACACACACACACACACACACACACACACACACACACACACACAGAAAATGAGCTATTATGACTTAAGACTGGGCTAACTCCATTTTTAACATCATTTTGAAGTTAAGTGCAGAAACGATTCCAGAAAATGCAGATTTTTTTTTTTTTTTTTATCAGATGGATACTGGTTGAAATAGAAGTTTAGTGACATTTTTGACCTCAGGGTCAGCAGTCCGTTACTGTCCCCGCCAGATGTTATTGGAGCCATTACATTTTAAATCCTGCAATATGACAAAAAAATGGAATAGGCCCACTGTAGTTCTCGGTACTGTACAACACTCATGCACGCACACACACACACACACACACACACACACACACACACACACACACACACACCATCCTTCAGAATCCATAAAAAAAAAAAGTATTTTTAAAGGGGAAGTTCCAGCGACGAGGAAGGAGGCTCTATGACCTGCAAAGACACACCCCTCGGTCAGCGTGCTCACATGGCGGTGTTGCAGTGGCTGCTGGGAGAAAAGAAAAAACGGTGGTGGAAGGGCAGCAACACAAAAACAAAACAAACAAAAGAAGGCAAGGAACAATGAAATACACGTGTACACAAACACAGGTGGTGAGTGTGGATGAATGAAGAAGAAACCAAAAGCTCCTGATCAGTCGGAAAGAGGATCAGCGCTTCAGGGGATAAAATTAAAGAATAAAAATCTTGATATGATCATTTGGAAAGGCAGGGGAGACAGAGAAAGTGAGATGATTATTTTCAGTAGGGTCTTCTGGGATGATGCACTCATTATCATCCACCACAGCTAAAAATGATTGATAAATCCTCTTTGTATTTGGTGGATATAAGATGAGACAAAATCTGCCAGCGGGAAATGAAGATTTTAACCTACGTCACTGATTAAGAAGTTCATCTTAATATATTTGCCCATTTTAGGGCCCAACCGATTAGTCGGCCACTAATCGGGCGATACTTGGTCTTTCAAGATTTGCAAAATCGGCCAATTTTTACTTTATTATTTGTTGACACATTTACACAAGATGGCACAAGTCGAAGTCAGACAGCAATAAACACGTAAGCATGACACGAACACGAAGACAAGGCTGTAATGCGTGCTTGGGATGTGAGTACTCACTCTGATCCTGACGAGTCACCGTCCACCGTTCCTGCCTTGATGCTCACGGCGATGCCGTTCAACTGCTCAGGCAGGCTGGCCTTAGCGGTGGTGGCCATTCGCTCGCTACAGGCCGAGCCGTGAGGGGAGGCCGAGCCATGAGGGGAGGCCGAGCCCGCAGCGCCGTCGCACAGTTCGTTGTGGATGCGGTTGAATCCGTTCCTCTCTATGATCGGGGAGAGCTGCTTCTTCTTTAAGATGCCTGTGTGCCACACAATAAGCATCGAATGTAATGCCGCCAATTTAGAAACATCACAGACTTCAAATTTAAAGTCCTTTTTCGGATAAGCATAACCATAACCCATAACAAAACAATTTTCAGCAGCTTTTTCCAACAGCTTGTTTCTCGACCAACAATAAACTGTATCTAAGTCAGACTGAATTAGATCACTCATCAAAAAAAAGACTAAAACTGTCTGCTATTATCTGCAAAAGCACTACTGTATTGATTCAAAATCATTGATGTAGGTAAGAAAAATCTTTGGGTGAAGCATTGACCCTTGAGGCACACCAGATGTCAACATCATTCAAGTACAAGAATAGTCCTCATATTCACAGTTCACTTTTCCAGAATTCACAAATTCACATTTTTTTAAAATGTGGAACATATGCCACAAGATGGCGCTATAGATAGCTAATAGACAATCCATATTAGCACACTGTTCTTCCGCATTCGACAAAACCTGCAAAAGCACTTCCTCCTCACTCGAGTGAATGGCGAAGAGCACCCGTGGAAACTTTAAACACCCACAATGTCTTTTTTTCTAGCACAAGATGTCAAAAAAAAAAAAAAAAGAAACAGAAACACCAAAAAGCGCTGTTGTACATGCAGATGCGACAAAGACACTTCAGAACATCCCAAGTTAAACTAAATTTCTCTCAACATTAAAAAAATCTTTCATTAGAGATTAATCAATTCACGGCATCAAAAAACAAGGTGAATTCATGAATAATGAACTGAATTGGGGGGGCGGGGAAGGAATTAATGTATTCCTGAGACCATTTCAGTCATTTACCTTTGTGGGGGTGGGCATGCAGTTTGGGCATGGAGGGCAGCAGTACCGTCACCGTGTCGTGCATGCGTTCATCTGATGACTCGAGATTCATCTTGAGCTTGTCAGCATCTTTGAGATCTCCATCATTCACTGCTGCAGGCCAATATAGTCGACTGTCTGCACACAAATATAAAACATATTGTATTCACGTGTACTAAATGTTGTGGCCCGGGAGTCATTTGACAGCTGATGCCGAACATAGCAACACGTTGATTGTACCGTGCGCTGGAGGCCGTTTAGCTCCACTGGACGCCAAGTTTTCCCAGCATTCCTCAGGACGAAGGGGACCTTCCTCGTCCTCGCTGTCAGAGGAGTGCGTAGAAGCGTAGGAGCCGCTTTGGTCGTCTTCCAGGGACAGGTCGCTGTCTGAGTCGCTGTCACGGTCTGCACACAGGCGAGAGTGAGAGGACCGTGTGGGAAAAGAGCCGGGGAGGGAGGGGGGTGAAGAGGTTCCGTTTACCGTCATTCTCATGCTCGTTGGTTTCACGGTCTGCACACAGGCGAGAGTGAGAGGACCGTGTAGGAAAAGAGCCGGGGAGAGGGGGGTCCGTTTACCGTCATTCTCATGCTCGTTGGTTTTATGGAAGAGCGACGTGTGGTCGTTGAGGGCAATGTGCGATTGGCTGGTGCACAGGCCGTCGTCCCTGAAAAACACGAGAGCTTGTAAAAGTGCTCCTCTACCATCCAGCTCTTTATGCCCGCTCTTGGGTCCTCACCTCAGGACGAAAGGCACGTAGCTGTGCTGACTCTTGACACTCTGCATGGTGCCGTTCAGAGATACGCTGGACTCACCAAAGGGAAGATGGTACAACTTGCCGTCCGTGTAGTTGGTGTTGTATTTGTAGCCCTGGAACAGCAGAGATGCTAGCTTTTAGCGTTCTGCAGTCCCGTTGCATAATTTGTTGCCTCCGTTTCGGTTTTTTGAGTTATTCAAGTGTACTTTTCACAATAGCAGACCACGTATGACCGTATAACCAAGTGAGTTCGTGGCGAGGGACTTACTGATGATTTGGATTTGAGCATGTGATCGGGATGTTTGTGTCCACAGCAGTACTTCATGGCATTCCTTGCGTCTTTATTGAACACGATGCGGAAGAAGAAGATGAAAGGACCCTGGATGACGACAAAGGCAATGTTGAAGGACATAACAACACGCCCGCTGTGCCAACAACAATAAACGCTCACATTATCTGGAGTGAATTAAGAGGGCACACCTGCACACAGTTGAAGCCGGCAAACAGGTAATGGAAGATGATCATATCGCTGTTGACAGACAGCAAAGCCAGGAAGCAAGTGACTGAGACCAGGAAGAGGACAGCGCCTGCGGTCTTCAGGCCCGACCTGCGTGAGACAAAATAACTAAAATAAAATAAAAAGAAACGAGAAACGTGTTCGGTCAGCGGACTGGTCTGACACTCACACTTGAGGTCCCTTCTCCAAGCTTTGGCGTCTCAGTGCGCAAGATGCTCTGGATGACAAGATGTACAGGAAGACGTTCATCTGCGGGTACAAACATCAAACTGCATTGATGCTTCTTGTTCTGGACAGTTCAACTCGGAAGAATCCACCGGGACTCACCGACACCACCATAGCGATGGGGCCAGCAAAGCTCCAGATGAGGGTGTCATACATGGACAGCCAGCAGAAGTCTGGGTTGCCGTAGCCTTCAGGGTCCAATCCCACCGCCAAACCTGCCGAGCAAACCCATAAATCGTTATACTCTTCAAACTGCTGGGTTAAGTAACACAAATTGGATGAACTAGCTAGCGCAGCGCTGGGTCCAAAAAAAGAATTAAGTTATACTCTTCAAACTGCTGGGTTAAGTAACACAACTTGAATTACTTATACCCAGCGCACTGGGCTGAGGATTTGGAAATTTACAACTTCAGCACACAATTGTGTCCGAAATGGCTCTTCAATCTGCCCAAATCAAATATTCAACATCCCCAATCTGCCGGGTAAAAATAATTAACCCATCCTAAGATAAAAGTAACAAAGTCTGCTCAAAATTCACAGCAAGCGGGTTACAAAAACAACCCAGCATTTTTCTGTGTGCATACTAACAGTCCTAAAAAAAACAACAACAACAATTTGATTGAGAGGAATGGAGGAAAAGTGGTTAAGATGGCACGACTGTCTGTTTTATGTGTTGTGTTGTATTATTTTATCATTTTATGTTAAATGTTCTTTTGATGGCGGCGCGGGCACCCGCAGCGGCTCCTCTTGTTGTCTGTTTAAGAGGGAGGAAATTTCATCTGTGCTGTATACACATACAGCACATTTGACAATAAAGTTGTACTTGATACTTGGTACTTGAACAACAACAAAAAACATGGTTCTATGGTTTGAAGAGTGATAACTTCCCTCTGAGGGAAACCATAGCCATGATGTGGCCCGAAACAAAAACGCATCATATCAGGGTTTGGACCTGTGATGAAGGCAGGTACTCCCCAGCCAATCAGATAGTAGAACCTCATGGGCCCATAGTTGATGTCTCGAACTTCACTGAGCATTCGGTACACGTGCAGACCCTCCAGGAAAAGCCACGAGAACGTGCACAGGTAGAAGAAGTGCAGCAGGATGGCGATGACCGTGCACAAAAACTGCGGCAGGGGAAGCAGATTTTTTTTTGACTTCACTGAATAAAGGAGAAATTTTTAAAAAAAAACAACTCAAGCTGCTCACTGGATTGTCAGCCTGGTTGATCCCCAGGATGAAGACGAGCTCGGAGAGGAAGAGGGCGGTGGTGCCGTTGTTCATGATGCTGGTCTTGTTGCACTGCATGGCTCGCAGACACAGGAGGAAGACGGCGGTGAGGAAGAGGAAGCCAAGGGTGACTCCAACGGTGCTCCACGAGAGGATTTTAATGGGCAGGATCTCACCGTTCTGATAAAAATAACATGCAGACATTTTTTTTTTTTTTTTTTAAATCCAGATTTCCATTATAGGTCTGTGGTGGCCTTGTTCATCTTTTGGGCTGGTGCAAGTGGAACTGTTCAATGTCCTCCAGTGTTCCCATTTGTTTACAAAACTGAGCTGACTTCATGACCTCATTTGCATTGTTACCTCTCTCCTGGAGATGTCCATGAGCACAGCGAAGCTTGTCATGTGATAGCACTGACAGCTTATGTGAGTGTTGTTTCGAAAGACCACCTCACATCCCTTTGCTGACCAGCCGCCCGTTCCAGCTCTGATATGACACAATCATCAAACGTGACAACGTCAACAACACAATCTCATCTTGTCTCCCGGTATGTGTGCGCACTCAACAGTATGGTGTGGTTCCAGAAGACGCAGATGGGTTTAGAGCGCTCTTCGGTGGTGACCAGGCGGAATTGCACGGTGATGGGTTTGTCAAGCGGGTGCTGCAGCAGCTCGTCGTTGTCGTGAACGGTGATGCTCACCACCGGGGTGTTGATTACCGGACGCTTTGGCACACTGGGGGTTAAAAAAAGGTAAATTCATCCATGTTATAGAGTGCGTGGCAGTTGAGACTATCCCAGCTGACTTTGGACACTCTGAACATGCTGCCAGCAAGCTGCTGGGCACATTTAAATCTTTGAAATATCTTTTTGAAATGTGGGAGCACATGCAAACTATTCTTACCGGAGACTTCTCTTGTCAGGGTCGTAGCTCTCAGGTAGAAGAGACGCCAGACTGTGGAAGATGATCACGCTGGCGACGGCGTCCGGCTGGTTGTCGTCGGGATGGCGTCGCTTCCTGTTGGCGGAGCGGTTCCTCAGCGAAGATTCTGGAAAAACTTCCAGGTTCCTGTGGCCTTTGGTGTCCACAGGCGGCTGGAAAACCGAGTCGGGAAGAGTGACGGTGGTCTCCTGGTCGGCGGGGCGGGGGCCCCTAAGGGACTGGTACCGCGGAAGTTTCGCCCCGGCGAAATTCATCTTTTTCAGACGGTCCACTGAGATGACTGCATAGGACAAAATTAAATAGGTCCAGAATCTCAAAGTGTACTTTTCACAACCAATATGAGTATTGTATCTCTGCTGCTTTCCTCACCCTGTCCTGGTAGAAAACTATTTTTGGAGGTATTTTTGTATAATGACCTCAAGAGTATATTAAATTGTTGACTGTAAAAAATATAGAAATTTAAAAAAAAATTTTTTTAAAACGAAAATGTAAACGATTGCATTATATAAATTAATAATAGATTACCAGTATGTTGAATGAGACTGTGGTGTTTTTTTTTGGGGGGGGGGAGTGTTATAATATTTTGCAACTGATGATTTATATCATTCGATACTATCACAAACATAACACTTCAATGTAATCATCCATCCGTTTTCTTCCACGTATCCTGGGTTGTGTCACTTGGGCAGCAGTCAAAATGAAGACCAGACTTCTCACTCCCGAGTCACTTCGAACTCTATATCAAAATACTAATAGTTCCTTTAAATTATCGTGGTTATTATGAATACTATTTAGAATTATGATTTTCGTGAAATATGAATGTATACGATGAAAAAAAAAATCACATTCAAGCAGCAGTCAAAATGAAGACCAGACTTCTCACTCCCAAGCCACTTCAAACTCTATATCAAAATACTAATACAGTAGTTCCTTTAAATGATCATGATTATTATGATTACTATTTAGAATTCTGATTATCGTGAAATATGAATGTATACGATTAAAAAAAAATCACATTCACGTTCCTATTCCCAAAGAATGAGTGATATTGAAAATGGCTGCATGGTTGTTGTCTGTTGTAAGGTCGTCTCAATATCAGATGGCCACTAGAGAGCGCTATGGTACTACCCCACCATTTGCAAAGAAGGCATGAAAAAAATTTAAATAAATAAAACAGGAAAATACAAATAAATTGAAGTAGTCATCAGACTTACTGACTTAAGTTAACGTCAGACCTGCTTGGTAGAATTTTGTCAAGCTGTCTTAGTGAACGCTTAAAAGACTGCATGTCAAAGTGTTTCAGAAGTTACGAACTGGAACTGAAGTAGAAAAATAAACTGTCTTTCATATTCATCCATAGCTCATTTGTCTTTAGTTTGGCACAAGCCTAACGTCGACGAAAACATTTATGTATCACAAATCAGATATTGTTTAGTATAACACAGATTTATTACTCATGTTTGTTAAAAAAAAAACACAGGAACAGGACCTTTGAAAAATTAATCTCATTTTAAATTGCAACTGCAATATTGAGGGGTACAAAAAAAATCGCAATTATATTATTTAAAAAAAACTTTCAGCCCTAGTATGAGGCTCACCAATATTTGGTGTGACGATGGTAAAGGGGCTGAGGTAGGTCTTCCTCATATTCTGCGCCAGAGTGTTGGCATATTCCTCGTAGCGGCGCAGCAGCGATGCCGTGCCGCCCTCCGTGTGCTGTATGAGCTCCCAGTGTGGACGCGTTTCTGGAGAAAGGATGGCACTGCCCACGCGGACCAGATTCTGCGAGGCAAGAGCCAGAGGAGATCAGAGGCCCCCCTCACCGGTGACATCATCCAGCTCATTTGACCCAACTTGATTGAAAAAGCCGAAGCGGCGCGGTGCCGGTGTTTGTTTGGTACCTCGGTGAAGTGGACGTCCTGCGTGGCCGTGAGGTTGAAGCCTTGCTGCTTGCTCTCATGATGCAGTAGCCTCTGAGTAAGTCCATAGGCCACTTTCACATCGCTGCCATAGTACTTCTCTGTGTGTAATGTGGCGTTGGCCAACATGGCCGCTGTCTGTTGGACGCGGGCCGGGTCCAGCAGGGAAGCATTATGGGAAAACCTTTCAGACTGGGAGAGGACATGAAGACATGATTATGTGACATAACGTGGGGATTTATTTAGTTACAGTTTTTTTTTTCAACAGTAAAAAAAAAAAAAAAATGGGGGGGTTGGTCCTTACTGAGCTAAAGTGCAGAATGATAATTACACAAAATCATAAAACGAAACAAATCTGTCTTATTTGAATTGGACAATTTTCTAAAATAGTGTTTAGTGTCATCGTTGAAAGAGTGTGAAATGTCAAATAAAGTATTTTTTTTTTCTTTTCACAAACGATCGATTATAATATATTTATTTCTAATTTCACTTCAGCGGTCGACTTGAATGATCTGTTTAACTCAGGACAGCAGAGGTAGCAAGCATTTAGAAGAAATGTTTAAGGTAAAAACGTTTTGGCCGGTGGGGATCAAACTATGATTTAGAAGACTGTTTAAACAAGATGATGATATGAAAGAAAAAATCCTTTGAAAAGGGTAATGCATGACATCTGATGCATGCGCCGTAACATTGCTTTCCCTGCATTTCAAAATGACAAATATTTGAACCTTTGGCAATTGCTTTAAGGAGCAAAGAGAGAAAGAGAGACGCCACCCACCAGCACTCTCAGCTGGCTGAAGGTGACCGATGTGCAGTTGAAGAGATTAGGAGGCAGCCAGCCCTTGTGCTCGTCACAGTGGCGAATGGCCGTGCCTGTGACGGGAAAGGAGGAGGAAGAGGAGGCGTGCGTTGTTATTACACGAGGTGGGAAATAGACTGCAGCTTAAAAAAAAGGCTCCGGGCGACCTCCATGCCTTGCCATTATTTTATGGTAATCAGAGCGTCAGCTGAAAAGACATCCTACCCAGAGTCCCCTTGGGGCAGGGTACTGCTGCAGGGAGCCCAAACTTGGTCCGGGGCCACCAGATTCCAGCCTGGATGGCCTGAGGGCAGCTGTCATAGATGACTGGCACAGAGCAGAGTGTTGGGGAGTGGGGGTGTATTTAGCGTGCAAAACATCGTAAATGGAGATGAACTTGAGTGTAAATGTGACGGGCTGTTACCTTCGCAGCCGTTAGCAGAAACCTCGGCGAAGGGGTTGTCGCAGCGGTTGCACTGACGTCCGATCACGCCTGATTTACACTGGCACTGACCGCTCTCGCGCTCGCATGTTCTGGAAAAGGAGCCCACCGGGTAGCAGTCACACAGCAGGCATGTGTTGCTGCCTTCGGGACGGTAGTGATTGTCCTACAAAGGGCACAAACACATTATTTACGGGTGTGAGTGTGTGTGTGTGTGTATTTGCTGCAATACACACATCGAAACAAATGACATATTATAATACTTCAGCACGGGCAAAAATTTTGAGACACTTGGCCACTTGAAAGCCTTAACTCATATGCAAACAGTGCACACATATTTTAAATCAGTGATTGTGACCAACGACGCACTTACCTTACAGCGACACTCTCCACTGGTCTTGTTACAGTCCAAATCAAACCCGCGTTCAATGGGACAGTGACATGGCCCGCAGGTCTTGTGACCCCACCAACCTCGGGGACAGGGCAGGTCAGTCCTGGAGGGACGCAAGTACAGTCACATACTTTAAAAAAATCCCGGCATACTCCCGATTCGTTTATGTGGGGTAAATGTACTTTTTATCGCAGTAATCGCCAAAGTAGTTGTGTGGACAATCACATGTGTAACCGCGGGAGGAGCTGGTCTTCCTGGTGCACGTGGACTCGTGCTCGCACAGGTTGAGCGTGCACGCATCCGTGCAGTTGGTGCCGTAGTAACCTGCAAACAAGTAAATGATGCAAGCGGGTCATGTAATAAATGGATCATTTCAAAAAATATTGCATGAAATGATGCTGACCGGGACGACATGTGCACGAGTAGCTGTCCCAGTCGTCGCTGCAGTAGCTGTTGGCGGGACACGGGTTGGAGCCGCAGGGGTCGGGCACGTTGCAGCCCACCTCCACGTTGACCTTCCTGGCTTGACTCAGACTCAGAGCGCCACCAACCCGCAGACCCTGCACGGAGACAAACGCCATCTTTCCTACCAAGGGCTGCATTGATATACCATCACCATGCTTAGTTGAAAGTCTCAGTAAAGTGAAAATAAAAACATCCCCTTGATGGGAAAAAGTGTTGGGACACCTGGCAAGAAAAGGGCAGGCTGATAATGGGCAAAAGTAGTGGGACAGGGAACAGATACGGGGGTGTCCACTTAAAAACTCTTTCAATGCCAACAGTTTAAAAAAAAAAGGTAATCTATTGAATGTGAGCCAATTCTAAGCATTCTGGCTGACTCTCAAGACTCATAGAATACTGTGTTTTATGACTGACATGTACACAAAGACACTACCAAATGAAATATAAGACTCTCTTCTGTCATCACAAAAAAAAAAAAGTTACAAATCTACCTTATTCCGTTTTTTAATAATCAGCAGTAGAACATGGCTTGGTTTCACCCAAATCAACTATTTTGGTCCCCCAAAAAATGCAGAAAATAAGCTTTGTACAAATATATTTGATGCTCAACAGTGACTTTGATGCTAAATATTTGTTATTTATTGCTTGACGGATGCCTCAGTCCTTTTATTCAACCAAATACTAACAATGACAATGAAAATGTGACTTTGATGGCAAAATAATGTATTTACAAATCATCACCAACAGTAGTAGTAGTATTTAATTGTGTGTACACGTGTGTGTGTGTGTGTGTGTGTGTGTGTGTGTGTGTGTGTGTGTGTGTGTGTGTGTGTGTGTATCTACATATGTATGTATGTATGTATGTATAGATTTATGTATGTCATCGTTCCTATTTTGACACGTCATAGGCTCTTCAAGAGGGACACGTAGCAGGAAAAGAACATTTGGCAGACGGGGGGCTTCCGCAAACCGTTCCCACATGGTTGTAATTGGTAGATACATTTGATCTCGAAGTGTGTGTCGCGTTTAGAGAGGGGTCTCACTTGTATGCAACCACGGAAGCCATGCCGAATTTTCCCATCAGGCATCATTAAACCTCCAACACTCACAGCCTTCAGCTTGGACTCCTGCAACTCCCCATCCACCTGCATACTGGCCTGAAACAAACAAGAAGACATTCAGTGCGGGAGTACTGACCTAACAAAATTGTCATGAATACATAATGCCATGTTTTCTCACCAGGTAGAGTCCGTGGTCTACTGACAGAACGGCTTTATGATGGCCCGCCGGCCCGCCCAAACTGCTGATATCCAGTTGCAAATGATGCCAGTCGCCGTCGTTTACCAGCACCTCCTCCACTCGGGACAGCGTGGAGTCCTCCCCCCTGTGCAGTCCCATCAGCACACTTCCGCCACGCAGCTGCAAAGGCAGAAAGGTGAAAAAAAGGACAGAGGCGGCAGGCAGGGGAGTGAATCAATAACAGATGAGCACAGAGCAGGAGAATATTAAGTAAAAGCACAAAAGCATTTGGAAAGTTAGCAGAGAGCAGGAAATGTCAATTTGCCACAGTTTGCCACTGTAATGAAGAGAAATGGCCATTTTCAGACCCTTTTCAAGTCCAGTCAATATAAAATGAGGAGCTGGGATTAAATGTGTGGCGTCTGAAAAGACATCTAAATACATCTTTGGGAGTGAATGAGTTAAAACACCCAGATTGTATGCCATTCTATGGCCCTGAGGAATAAACTGACATTTCTGTGTATTGCAACACGTGAGCAGAAAATTAGCATCTGATGCAACGGGCGGCAAAGAAGAGCGCTTTGGTTTGTGTTTCAAGTGCTTAAAGCCAAGATCGATCTCACCTGCAGCGTGAGATTGTGCCGCAGTCCGGAAGAGATGTGCAGCAGCATGGCGCCGGCTTGACGGGTGCGCAGCATCAGCTCCACGTGCCATGGCACGGAGGTCGCTGTCGCCAGGTTGTTCCATTGCAACAGGCTGTTGCCCAGGAAACGCTGCGGGTTGGCCATCACTGTAGAGAACATATCATCTTGATATTGGCTGGAATTTCTAAAGATGTCAAACAACACGTGATGGTTGAACAGTCATCATGCACGATGTCAGAAAATCTCAGGGAGGCACGGCGCCCTGGTGGTGAGGACGTTTGCCTCTCAGGGTTCGAATTTTGGCTCCTCCTCAAAGCGCAATTCATGGCAGGTCGACTAAACTGAAAAAAAAAATGGCGTGTTGAATTTATTCAGTTTTATTTCATCAACTAGTTGCACAAAATAAAATAATCTGGATCCAGATAATTTTTTTGCACCTTGTACTTAGGCCTCTAGTTTCATAGACAGATGCTCATGCCCTAAAAACGGACATATCTTCAATTTCATGCCTTGGAAAAACTAGTGTGTTTGAGAATTGGGCAGATTGCGCTGAGCCATGATGGCCGTTCTGGCGGAACGGGGGCATTTTCTTTTACACGCCCCCGGCGCAGCTGACAATATGGTGACAGAAAGTAGACTAGACATCAGACCACCTATCAGCGGGTCTAAGTTGTGGCGCAGGTGATGTCACGCGATATTGGTGCCACTGATTCTGCGCATTGGTTCTGCGCTTCTCTGATATGTGCTGTGGATGTCATTAAACTTCATTCCCTGCCTCACCTCTTTCACAATTTCTTCCCCCGAATCCGAGCGGGCAGTTGCAGCTGAAGGAGCCCCACAGGTTGACACAGGTCCCTCCATTCAGACACGGGTTGTTGGTGCAGAAGTGTCTTTTGGCGGAACATCCTGGCAAGGTGAACATAAAATAAAAGACATTCATATTCACTTCTGGTGTGTTCCTACTTCATTATTTCATCACAGCAGCAAAGAAGTGAAGATAGCAGACTGTTGCAGTCATTTGCTCCTGATACGCCTTCCCTGCTGTGCTCATTATAATCAGTGCTTGCTCTCTCTCACTTGGCAGCTCTCACGCACACACTGACTACCACACTGAACCAAAGCAAATCCGTCGGAGCTTTTGAGTGTCGAATGTTGTCGCCGCATACCGGGCAGCGTGCCGTTGTTAGCGATGTAGCCGGCCATGTCGACGCGTTGGTTGTCTACACGCAGATTCTTCATGCAGCCCACGAATTGGTGGTTTCGGACAGGAAAGTCTTCTGGGAGTTTAGGGACCCCTCCGAGGAGCAGCGGGCCGGTCAGGTCCAGTGATCTGATGGCACAGAACACATGAACATTTCATACATTGCAGTTCTGCTTCAAAAGATATCATCGGCACTCATTAAAGGAGAAATGCATTAAAAAAAATCATAACAGAAATAGTGCGCAGTGTTGCTATTAGTGCCTGCAGATAAAACCAGCAAAGTAGTAAACATCGTGGAAAAATGTAACACCCTGGAGATGTGGAACTTCATTTCAGGAGTTTACTCCTAATGAGCACACTGCAAAGAAAGTTGTGTGCTAAATTATGGAAGTGAATAATAAAAGTCGTGAGAAGATGCCGCTGCAAGAACTTTATTTACACCACCACTGCAGGAAATTGTATTGATTTATTCTCACTTTTTGCTCCCCGATTGGCTTCCCTGTGCGGAGCAGGTGTAGTTTCCAATCACGTGACCGAATCTCAGAGCCACAGGGTTGTCGCAGTTGTCCACAGTCACCACCACCACCTTCTGGTCGGAGGGACCCTGTGGCAGGCCGGCCTGGTTTACAATGGGCTTTGAGAAACACGGAAAACAAAAATTATCTCAAGATATTGCTTAATTTTTTACAGAATTCTTTACAAAATATTATAGGGAGCTATTTTCCTTGTTAAAAAACACATTCCAAAATGTTTTTTAGGGAGACGAGAACAGATTAATGGCATTTCCATTCATTTCAAAGGGGAAACATTTTTTGAGATACGTACAAGAGTTCTGAGTTACCTGTCCTCTGATATTTGAAATATTTTGGAGACCTTTACAGGTACACGAGACTGCCGAATAATAAGAACAGTTATCAGTCCAATTCAAACCCCAATAATACCGTAATCATATTTTAAAAGTTTATTTTAAGCACATTAACAATTGTGTACAGTACTTTCTAATATCTGTGGCTCCTTTCTGATTTGTTCTTTGTTCATGCAAAACCTTGTGTCCGTCAACCTAGTGGAAAATAGCTTGTTCAGATTGACAGATTAAAGTATAAACGGAAGCACAAGTAGACTCGCACGGCTATTTTAAGACACTGCAGTATTTTTGGTTACGAAGCAATCCTAAATAGCAGTGGCGTTAAGAAAATATTGTATTGTTCTGCCGCATTGTGGCAAAGATTATTTGGTAAATCAGCAGTGATTCCAGCCAGTGCAAAGCTCCACACAGCTTTTTGAGGCAGCTTAGACGACGGCGCAGCTTTGAAACTGGGAAAGATCAGCCACATGATCTTTTGCCTTGAGCCTTTTTCGGCTTGTCGCTCTGCTCCCAAAAATCTGCTTATCCCAGCTGCTGTTGTGCGTTTCGATAATTCATACAACAGCTAACGGCAGCGTATGGCGAGATCACGCGCACACGCACAAATGGTCGACCCTCAGCAGGACATCATCCCTGTCAACAAAGGGTCGTCTTCATTGTCTGAGAAGCCAATTGTGGGGAGGCGGAGTTTGGGGACAAAAAAAAAAAGCAAGAGGGTGGAGGGGGTGTGGTCTGCGGGGGCCAAGAATGACGATCCTATCAATAAAGGTCACGAACTCTTTTCAAACTGGGCAGTTTCTCTGAGGTCACGCCAAGCTCATTTTAACTCTAAGCATGGGTTCAAGCTGCTGCTGCAAACATTGAGCAAAGAAATGACCAAGCCCGCCTAATAACGCCCCTCCCGTCACCCCCCCCCCCCTCCACCCCCGCAGCGCAGCTGACCGACCGGTCGGTCCGCAGGAGTGTACGCGGCGCTGCTTTGTCAGCTGGTCAGACAGGATTTAGCAGGACTTAGCCCATCTCATACGCAGAGATGAGACGTCCAAGTGGTTTGAACTCGCTCGGTACTGGCAGCTTGTGAATGGACGCAATTGTCTTGTTGTGATTGTCTTACTGGAACCAAAATAGATCGACTTCATCACTCAGTGACTTCTCTCGAATACGAGCTATCATCTCGCTATTTGCTGGTGTCTCATGTTTGACCAAGGTATATAAGTACTTTTTTTTTTTTTTAGATGGTCTGCCTTTTTATTTCTTAAATTTCACAAAACAAGGGAGCCTCACAAATCGGTTTATGAACAAAGTTCCTGTACAAATGAATAAATACATTAAAAAAAATAAATAAAACTATGCTACCCCCATACCGATGATTAAGTTCTTTTAAAATATTTCAAAAAATATTTTTCCAAAATCTTGTTCTTGAGCTTTATGTTCCATTTGTAATTTTATCAAGCTGCTTTTTATTTTCTTTACTTGGCTTTGCTTTTTACCGTTTTAAATTCTTGTGTACGTGTGCTTGTTTATTTCTTCACTTTTACTTTTTTTTTAACAATTATTTTGAATGTAAATGTTGTACTTTTATTTATGTGAAACAGATATGTGTATGAGATTCGCTATATAAATGAAGCTGCCTTTCCTTCCCAGAACTTCTCGCATGTGAACAAGATATAATAACCCGATACCGTGCTGCCATATTAATAAAATAGCCTCATACTCAATTCACATGTTTAAAGAGTTGTTTAGTGTATGACAAAAACCACAGAGGAAGGCCAGAGCCAAGATTTAAAAACCCAGAGCCCCAGAACTTTGAGGTTGACATGCTAACCATTATCCACTGCGCTAGCACATGAATAACATGAGTTCTGTATTACAAAACTACTGCTTTTTGCACGAAGTTGGTTTCTTAAACTGTAGGATGTAGTGCTAGTGCAAATAAGTTTAGCTCGACCGTGGTGGTGTTCCACGCTGTATTGTGTGTGATGATAATAGTTGTTGTAATTTGGAGTGGTGAAGTATTCATATTCAGAACTGTTTTTAATGTTGCCCCTTTTATGCCGCTAAATACCGCAACCAAAATATTCCATTCTCTTAGCAGGCTCTGTTCGTGTCCCAGTGCTATTTTCTTTTTTCCGTCAAAATGTTAAGCATGTGTTTGCCAATGTGTTACATGTGTGTAAATTGTATCATTGGGCACGGAAATTGACTTGTGGTCTACCCCTATTTGTGAGTACAGTTGTAGACCACATTTAACTAGAGGGTGGTTTCCAAGCACAGCAATAAAACTTCTGAAACAAACAAACAAAACATGTTCAAGACTGAGTATTGTGACTTCAGAGATTTCTTTTGGAAAATATGTTTGAAGAGAACACTAGTCAACAGCAAATTTTAATCAGAGGTGTGTATTCATATAGAAAAGTGTTTCTTCACAGTCCCTGGTTATCCGGGGCAATTATGACATAGCTAGCTAGCTAGCTAGCTAGCGATGCCTTTGGATGCCTCTTCTCTGTGGAATGAATGCAGCTTACAGGGACGTGAAAAAGCACATGTACAGTAATATATGGGCCGCCGTTTCTTGTTTCAGATACATTAACGCTTTTGATGAAAGACTTGTTTTCTCAGGCGTGGAATCAAGCACATCTATCCATCCATTTTCTCTCGCGGTTGTCCTCATGAGGATCACTTGTGCACTGAGGCCTATTTCAGCTGACTTTGGGCGGATATGAGAATAATACGGTGACTGTTTTAAATAATACCACTTTTACAATGTCAGTCAAAATGAAGCATCATTCTGTTTGGGAAAGAGGATGTGGTTTTTTTTTAGATACATTATCTTTTGTGTGGGAAGTCATTGGACTGTGCTAATGGCTAGTGGGTCTGTTTCACTTCCAAAATGTCTTCATACATTGAGTCCTTTCAAGTCAAAGCCATTCATCCTGAGCTTGTTAAGTCAACTGGTTCTTTATTTTTTTTTTTTTCAGCAGCCCCGGCCAGTGTGTTACAAATTTGTCGATGATGAAAAAGGCAAACAAGCCGTTTGAATCGGCCGGTGATCAAATCATCCGACATGCTCTTTTTTTTTTTTTTGTCATCCACGGTGTTGCCCTCACCCCACCTCCCGTCTCTTGTGAAAGGTCCGGAACAGGCAGCGCTCCAGATTGGACGCTCCCTCGCTGACCTCTGCTGTCATCAGTCACGGCTGTTGACTCGCCAATAATGACTGACTGTCAGGATGACATTCGGCCACACAAAGGCCCATCCTGTCAGCACTGATTGGAATGTACATATTTGCTCAAGTCTGACATTGGCTGCCCATGACAGGAGGATTATGGGAATATGAGTTTCTTAAAAAAAAAAAATTTAAAAAAAAGGGGGGGTGGGAGGTGAGCAAAAGGAGCATGAGAGAAGTCACACGCGCATATGTGATCTAAGATTGACTGGAAAAACCATAGCAACAAGAGAGCTAGCCCCTGAAGCGCAGTGTCGCCGTTCAAAGCCCGAGTCAATACTTCTCGTCGCTTTTCTTCCGCTGCTCTCCTGCTCTCCCGAGAACACAGAGTGAGGAACCTTCCCCGGGGCCGCATCATTCACTGCCCATGGACCCAAAGGAAGCAGAACCACGCACAAAGGCTGCGGTCATTGCCATTCTCCACAGCCCTCGCTGCCATGAAAGCCACATTTCAATCTCAAACGCAGCCCTCCCCGACACTTGGGCCCCACCCCCTGCTGATAGGGATGGGTCACCGTGGGGTACCTCCAGTGGGAGGAGCCACGCTTATACCTCAGCCAGTCGCCGGGCGAGGGAGTGTTGGTCAGAGGTGAAGCTATTGGGTGATGTTTAGTTGTGCGTAAGTCAGGGAATCAATCTTAATTTTTCTTCTCCATAAGACATTATGGGAAATGATTAATACTTTGCAGGAACAGTTAAGAGACATTTACTTTTCTGCTCCGAGTGCAGGAAGCAAGATCCAGTATTTAAGTAATCCTCAACTACCGTGCTTTGTAACTTTAACGTGGGCTTAAAGTTAGTCAGGTGAGCCGTAGGGAATGATCACATTTCAGAACATCTATATTAATTAATCAAACAATGTCTTTGTTCATCTATCTATGACATCAACATAGAGTGACAGACAGAACAATTAAAATGTCTTGTTTTTTGAAAATAGTTCACTTATAACTATTAGGCTAACGATATTTTCTTCCACCTTCACTTCCTGTGTGTTGAATGTTGAGACGTCCAAAAACTTGTGACCATAGAGCGTTACAGACTTTTACAAAACGATTATATAAGGACATGGGAATGCTGATATGGTGTAACAATTTTCAGCTTTTGTAACTAGTGGACTAAAGAGTCCATAATGGGTTGCTGGCAAAAGGACAAGCTTTCCCACCCCCTTCATCACTTTTGTGGGCACAGCCGTGCTATCATGGACATTGAATAGAAAATGTAAACTGCAGGGTGTGTGTGTGTGTGTGTGTGTGGGTGGGTGGGGGGGGGGACAGCTTTATAATGCAAAGTGGCTTCCTCAATGGCCTAAAATGTGACATTCCGTCTGGGACAGCAAAGACAGACAACAGGTCTGTACATTCCTCACTGATTGAGATGTTGACTTGTTGGTATGGAGAAGTGCGCTAGTCACAACATCTTCAATCTGAGCGGGTCTGCAAAAAATAATACCCACCACCCTCACAATTAAACCAACTAAATCCCTTGGCAGCTTTCCAGATTAGCATCATGTCAGCAGCCATTGTTTGGTGACCCTGACGGGACGGACCAACACAGTCGCTTCACTCCCGCTGTACTTGTTCGAGCATCTTACTGGCAAGGCTTGCCACTTTTTTTTATGGAACGTTTCACGGAATCAGACCCGTCTGACAGACATTTTGATAATCCGGGATTTGTTTACTTCGGTCTGTGTTCCGTCTTATGTTCCGTCTTATGTCAACTCTGCGTCGTGCAATAACTAAAAGGAGCGAAGTTAGACAAATCAGACCATACCTTGTTGTAGTAGTGGACCTCCACCACATGCCACTGACCGTCGCTCACCCCGCCAACAATAAAAGGTGAAACGGTGGTCTTTGTTTCACCTGTGGAAAAAAGATCAATAATGAGTGGATACTCACAAAAACTTGGGGATATTCGGACCATTGTAAATGTTTCTTAGAAGGTCCAATTAAGTTCACCCGTCGAGGTTCAAGTTAGTTTCATCCTGAAACTTTCACTAAAAGTCCAATAATCCAAACATTTTGTGAGCAGCGTAAAAGTTTTTGCAGGTCTGCAGAAGAATTGAATGTTACCTGCAGAAAAAGTGACTTGAATCTGTTCATTGATGATTTCCATGGCAATGAAGTCGTGTTTCTCATTGAAGCGGCCGTTGTACAGCAATAAACCGTTGGGCTCTTTCGTGGCAAATCTAGCACCAAAAAAATAAATACAATTAAAAAAACGGAATTGCTAGGTCATCAATGTCTTACAATTGTTGTTAAAAGTGTTCATTGGCGTAATTGAAGTAATCTTTTATTCTCTACTTCAAAATTCCACACCACTGCTAACTACAACCACGGTCAGAATACTTCATAAAATTCGACGTGCAAGTTCTGCCCCTTCCCCTCTCGCATGATGCTGATCAAGATTGGCGCTTCGATAGAGATGATGGGGCGCATTACAAATAACTGATACCAAGTGACGAGATTAGCGGGAAAATTTTACAGCAGAGCTCTCGCCCAAGACACATAAAGGAAGTGTGCCATGAATAACGATGGGCGCATTAAACAACGCAGAGGTAAGAAAATCTAGGCCGACGTCAAAGGAGCTGAGTGGGTTGGACGTGGCGGTGAGTGAGTTGGAGGATCGGGGTTGCGCGGGGGGGGGGGGGGGGGGGGGGGGGGGGGTGCATCATTAGCGTACGGAGGGAGAAGCGGGAAGGAGGAAGTCAGTTTCAGCAGATTATTGAGCAGATGTTTGTAGCTAGAGCACTCAGACGGTACATCTAGAACATGGGTGTCAAACTCAAGGCCCGGGGGGGGGGGGCAGATCCAAGCCGCCACCTCATTTTATGTGGCCTTCAAAAGCAAATTATGTGCATCAACTACAGGTTCAAAATTGCAAATAGTCTTTACTTTTAAAAACATTGAGATTGCAAGCATTTTTTTTCTCTTTATCAATCCCCTTTCAAAATAGATCTTTTAATATTTGAACTAACACTTGCCATTGTCCTGTGATTTAAAAAGTTGTTTTTCCAATTTGTTGTGTTTATGTAATCTGAGGCGATCGTAAATTTGTTTGGGTTCAAAGACATAATGGCCCTCAACAAGAAAACTTAATTGCAATGCGGCCCACGACAAAAATGAGTTTGACACCCCCGAGCTAGAACGAAGGCGTGAAGGGCAAACAAACTTGACAACAACAAATTCAACAATTCAAGGCTAAATTTATGCTGATTGATATCAGCTATTACCTATTTTAAAATTGGCAAACCCCGCCGTAAAGGCAAAAAAATAAATAAATAAAACGGCCAGCATGTCTTGAGCTAAGGTTGGCGGCGGTTTGGCGTTTTGCTCAAAGACGACATTCGCGTTCTGATCCCTAATGCAGCTCCCGTCGTCTTCTTCAGACGTCTTTCGCAACTCCCACTTTCAATGGCGGCGCTCAGACGACATGAGCAGCTGCCTACCCCCTCTTGTACTTGTAGCCCGATTGCCGCCAACCCCACATGTATGTGATGCTAATGGCGCAGCGTTGTTTAAGGGGAGGGGAGCCGCGGGGCACGACAATGTCGGCCTGCTTATCCAGAAAAGCTCAATCATAACCTTGGAGGAGAGAGGATGGCGATTAAAAACGACAGTGGACAGAATTCAGAAAACGACCTCATAAAATCACAAAAAGCCATCTAAAATAATATTCGGATTCTCTCACTCGGCAACCCTTTCTTCGTCTTTGTCGTGTCAATTTAAAAGGCTCCACTACCTTGACCCCTCCTACCCCGCCCCCTAACCCCCAAGGGCCCTCGGAACTATGAAAGTAATCAGCTGGAAGTAACCACGCACATCACTTTGTGTCGCATTAGGCACTCATCAGTAAAAAAAACAACCAGTCTGCCCTTATGTGGGGAACCATGTCACGCGATGCCAACATGCTACAATGCAGATGACGTGTGCACTGAGGAAGAATAAAGAAGGAACCTTTACTCATTGGGGCATGTGTACTGTACGTAATACTAAACTGCGCTGTAGGCGACACTGTACATCTGAACATTCCACAAACACTGGATGGATTGTTTTGAAATAACTGTGCTAATATAAGGTCACTAGCGGGTTTATTTTAAGACATTTTCCCATTATTGTATAATTCTTATCCATATGTACAAACGTTATTTTGCACATTGGAGTAGTGGCGAGCATTACTTGTTCTCCTGCAATTGCCTCAGGCTCTGAGTATCGGCACCTTTGACGTCGCTACTTCTGTGATCTGCCACTGAAAAGTAAAACACTTTGCAAACTGGTCAGGGCAGTTCTCCATCGTAAAAAAAAAAAAAAAAAGATGGTCATCTGAGCTGGGCTTAAAGGAGTGTTGGGCCCAGAAGGATCACAAGGGGGATATTATTTTCAACTACGGGCATTGTGAGGGTCAACCCCCTGTCAGGCAGGTGAAGCGGTGATGTAAGCATGGTAGTTGTCACATTCCCTCTGATGCCATCTGAGATACTTGGCAACATCTGTCGCGTTTGGCTTTCAAAACGCTTCTATCGCCCATTCCATTAGATGAAAGATGAATTTTCTGCTCATCAACTGGCAACTTTCGAGGCAAAAAAAAAAAAAAATTGCTACAAACTATAGATACTGCATTAAATGTCACCTCTACATTGATTGCAGGATCTCGCCTCCACAAAAATACACTTTTCCCTTTTTCCACTAGCCATAAAAGCAAGTCCGCAGATGTCATGCGCTCGATTGGTTCGCCGCGGCTCCGCATTTATTTTTAGGTAGAATGTGACACTGCAGCGGCTCCACAGAAAAGGCCTGATGTTCAACGATATCCTGAGAGGTGTGTGGAGGTGGATGAGCACTGAGTCACACTGCGCAAAGAGCAATGGAGGTGAGACAGACAGTACAAGTGATATCGAGTAGATGATACAGGTAATGCGGTTGATATGCGGAACAGGAGTTTTGCAGGTGATGATGATATAATTAATATACACAAATAGTCACACACAAGTGAACTGTACTTAACAAATGTACTGGACTGGATAGAGAAAACGTTCAAGCCGCTGTCACATTATTTACAGTTTTTAACATTTAATTCAGTGATTCTTTCTATTACCACTAGGGGGTGCAAATACAAATAAATCTATGTTGCATCGGAGTCCCGTTCCAACTCCCAGCGAAATTTCTTCAGCGAGCCTCCTCTAATTGGGTCACGTGACTCCCACTAACGCTAGTCTGGCGGGCAAAACAGGTGCTATCAATACGTGATGCGAATAACGCAGCTTACGTGAGCGAAACGGTGAAATGGAAGCGTTGGCGGAGACCCTTAAAGGTGAGGAAGGAGTTTGGGGGGAAGTTGCGGGTGGTCATCTCGCAGTAAGGCTTCTCGTAGCCGCCCGACGGACATTCGCACTTGAACCCGCCCACCAGGAGGTTCACGCACACGCCGGTATTCTTGCAGACTCCCGCAGCACAACGGCCGGAGCGTGACGACAGCTCACAACGCTCACCTGAGACAAAGAGAAAATGAAATAATCAGAATAATAATATTAATGACAATGACAATATGTATTTCCCAAATGTGTAAGATGATCATATTATTGATACAGCGCCTAACAGTGTGCGTATTCATCATCAGCATGTCTTCTGTGCTTATTTCCCGACATTTTCCACTGAGCTTTCAATCAAGCGTCGCAGCTCCCTTTTCCTGCGCTGGAATGTGCGTCAAAGTTGGAGAGTCGCGCAGCGAGTGAAACACTGGCCGCCCACATCTTCAACATACACTCACCTTTCATTTGGGATCATAAATCATGCTCCACGAAAAGTTTGCTTAAGAGCTGCTGGGGTGTGCGTTCAAGTCAGTCGGGGGGTAAGCCCACGCGATGCTGGAAGAGACCGACATATTCTACTCTGGCTTCAAACAACTGCTTCCCTTCAATCCATCTATGATCGAAACCGTTTGTACTCGCTAGGGGTGCAGGTGAGTCGAAGCCCCTTATGGGACGTCTACACTCTTCCAAGCGTCCCCGCGCTGCTAAGCTGCCGCACCGACGTTGCCAGGTGAGTGCGACACCAGGGTGCAGAGCTCAGAGTGACAAATGCTCCCCCCCCAATCTCCTGATTAATAATTCAAACAAGTCACTATAAGCAGGGACCGCGTGCGAGCGTTAGCTGCCGGCATAAATCATTAAAGCGGCAAATTGCGCCCTTTAATGTTTACTTCATGCTTGCATAAATGATCAATGCAATTGGAATATGAGTCTCTGTTAAATTATGGATTAAAAAAAAAAGTCATTTTGTTATTCCCCAACGCATCGCAAAGTCACAAACATTGACAAACGGGAGTCAGTAGTTAAGCAGAATAAATTCAAGGGCAGCAGAAAATATTAGACAACTCTGAGGGTGTGCTCAGGCCCTCCCAAAAAAAAAAAATGCAGAGGACTTGCTTGGTTCAAATTGATAAAATACTTGACTTGACTATAACTTGGACTCACTACTTTTCGAAAAAAAAACAAAAAAAAAAAACTGCAGTCTGATGCGCTTCCTTCTGCACTTAATCATGACAGCTTTAACAGTTTTGACCGAAAAGCATCCAGACTTGAGGCGACAAAATATCGGATGACTCCCGCGGAGTGAAAAAAAAATGGCGTTTTGTCCAAGAAAGTGAATAGAGTTGTTCTCATGTTAGTTCCCACACTTAAAATTGATTATCAATATGAAATATATCAGCTGCTTTGTGGACAGACCAACAGAATGGATTTGTGACAACATTTTAAAATTGACCATATTTGGACATGTGGTTTTTGAAGCCACCTCCTGAAGCATTCAGATTATGACTTGATTTACGACTTGCTTCAGCAAAGTCACAATTCGACTCCAGTCGCTTGATTTTTGCCACAATCATTTTGAAAATTGAAGTTTCCAACTCACACATATGTGACATAATCCCACCTCTGGTAATGCGTTACCAGGTTTGCCTTAATGAGATAAAGACGCGCTAGAGGAGATTTCCTCAGAGACGTAAACGCGAGTGGGGCGTCGTCAGGTTGCAAGGTAGCAGGAGCACTGATGACCCTCTCCAAGAAGCACCGAGCTCAACTTTTAATTCCACACTTGAGAGCTACAATGAGGTCAGCGTGAGGATGCGCAGCTCCTGATTGGGACATGATCGCTATGAGGCACCTTTGGCCCTCCTGCGAACAAGCAATAATGTGCAATCGGTGAAAATCTGTGACGTAGAAAGTCAGCATTAGGAAAAAAAATAATAATCATGTTAATTTTGCTTGTATCTTCTAATCCACCATCTTGAATTGTCAACCAGGATGAGACACGTTTTTGTAATCTTCTCTCAGAATACACTGAAGTGGTTGTTATTGTTTGGCAGCAGTGTCATCTGCATTTGAAAACAAGATTTGTTCCGAAATACATTCAAAGCCGGAAAATGAATTTTGGATGAAAGTATGAATGCAAGCTGCATGACAAGCACAAGCGGGGTGCCAGAACGCTGTGAAGAAAGTAGGGAGAGGGGCGGGGGAGGAGGGGAGGGGTGTTCTCTCACAACTCGCTGTGTTCTTGTCGGTTCACTGGGTTGCATGATCGTGATTCAAATGAAGACTTTCCACGATTGCAAATTCACACTTGCCTCTCTGCAAGTTTTTGAATGTTGTCGTTACTTGTTCCCAACAAGAACGCTGACTTCTCACGAGTATCATTTTTTTTTGGAATACATTAACACTTTTGCAGACCTCAGCAAAACACATCACTTCAGGGCGGCGGGTATTGACTGATTTTAGAACTGATTATTCTGTCAATTATCTCAACCAATAAAATGATTAATAAAAAAAAAAAAATCACTTATACCCTCTTGAAATGTTTCATTTCAAATCTTTGGATATTGATAAATCACACAAACAATTTTAATCACCGCTACATTGCACTGAACTTTTACACCACTGCATAATACAGTTCAGTCACAATAATAACACCACAACTGAAAAACTTCAACTTCCTTTTCTTTTTAAATGCTGAATTTTAGCATTGAATCTTATTAACATTTGAAGTTGTAATTTCAACAGTCCTGTGATTGTAGTTGCTTTTATTTTCATTATGCAAGGTGATTACCCATGTCATCGCCAACTACAAAACAACTCAGAGGATGAAAATCTTTCACTCTGTCCTTCTGAAGAGTGTTTAAAATGATGGCAACATTTTCTCCCCCCCCCCCCCCCCCCCCCCCCCAATCACTACCATCTGGCAAACGCCTACGGTCCAACAGATCCAAACCACACACACGCATTCACACATCCATGCACCCACCACCAACACTGAACTATTCCTCAGATTGTTCATCCAGCTTTAATTGCAGCACTGAGCCATGCGAACCACACAATGCGAGCGCTTTGATCAACACAATGTTGGGAGAGGAGAAAAAAAAACAACACATCGAATAAAACCTGCATGAGTGACTGTGACAGAATGACAGATTCAGAACCCCTCCTTCAACATTCCCCCCCCCCCCGCCCTCCCCATTAACTGGTGAAAATACCCGTCTGCTGCTTACAGGGGAAAGGAGTGAAAATCCACCCACTTTCACCCACTCTCATGACAATTCCCATTGAAAGTGCCCGCAGTTCAGCTCTGACACCCACAACCGTGCACGAGAAGATGTAAGTGCCACTCAACCTGGTGATGGGGCCCACACATTCGGACACTATTTCAGGTGGCGCTATAAAATGCAGCGCCTGAAATAAAACGTTGGAATGTTGGATTTGGAATAATGGAATGGCGTGTTCTTGTAAGGGGGAGGGGGGGGCATTGGTGGGCAGGAAATATGTTAAGAATATCAGTCAACAGCAGTCAGGTTTCGTTCATGGGACAAATGTTTGACGCATTTCAGTATGTTCTGCTGTTCTGGTTAGCAACGGAGTTCACTCATGAAAATGGACTCTTCAATGTCGGGGAGTGAGCAATAGAGTCGATCATCGAGTCCAAACTTTTTTTCACCCATGGCAACATAGAGAAATATGAAAGGAGGAGGTAGGCCTCGTCACCTTGCGTGTATGAACAATACCAAAAAACACTTCAATATGTATAGTTCAACATATGCTAAGCAGCTCAGCGTGTTTTAAAAAAACAAAAAAACAAAAACGTTTTAATCTCAATCTATGTTATGTTAAAATTGAAATCTCCCAAAAACATTGTGCCCTATAATTCAAATTATCATTATTATTTTTTTGGGTGAAATGTCGAAAGATAGCACACAATTTTTAAAGCATTTTCTTGTAACAGTTTGAATGTGTCTAATGATATTATTAGAACATGGGACGAGCCAACAAAAAACATGAAGCGGACAGCAAAATGCCTCCCTTGGACACCCAAGATCATAAGTGTTTCCACCATTTTTTCCCCACTCTATTTGTGGAAATTTGCACCAAAGTGACTCTTTGAAACAAGGGGCTGTATTTCCGTGAACGGCGTATACAGTATCTGTGGCGTGGCGCAACTCTGCACAAAGGTGGCGGATCTGAGAGAGGTAGAACTGTGACGCTGTGGGAGTGGTCACAGACAATTTCAATAAGAGAGGCTCATCTTATTAATTGTGGCGCGCCAGTCACTCCACGACAGTCCCGACATGGTCTGAACACACATTTGAGGAATACATCTATTTGAGGAATACATCAATAATATACTGATAGTCTGATTGTGAATAACGTACTTAATACTGGTAGACGGAATATTTACAATATGGAATTCAAATCCGAAATAACAAATAAACAAAGCCTTTATGTACTTAAGAGCAATTAATATGCCGCTTCAAAACTTAAGTCCATTTTTGGCCTACTTTACCTTCCAATAAATAGGATGGGACGTAATCCCCATGATATTCATGCTATATTGATTAACATATTTTATTTTGCGCGTCTCTCTTTTTGCAAAATGAATATGAATGAGCCACTTTTAACACAGTTGAGAATGTCAGCGTTTTTGGACTGAATATTCCTGCGGCAGTTCTGCTGCCGACAGTTCCGCTCCTTCATCATCACTGAAAATGGAAGCTTGTGTCGCAACATACTGCATGCGGCATGTCGTATGTTCCTTTAGTGTGTCACCACAATGCATTCATCAGCAAGGACATATTGCTGTCAAATCAATGTAGAGTTCCTGCCGCATCTCAGGATGAACATTCAAGTGTGGGGGGTGAATACCTTTGCAGGTGAACACACTGCCTATTTATAGACGTGCTGAGACATAAGTTGCATCAGGAAAAAAAAAAAATAGCCGAACAGTGTTACAAGCCAACAATACGCTTTCTAAAAGTCTGCTATCTCGCTGCTCTATATTCACCTATCGCGAGTGGGTTCGGAATGCGTCCCCAGTGATACACGAGAATTCTATTTCAAATTTCTATTTCGCTAAAGCCATTTCCTGGTTGACAGAGAGCTGTGTGAGGCCCACCTGTGTAGTCGTCCGTGCACTCGCAGGTGAAGCCTCCCTCTCTGCTGCGACACACACCGTGAACGCCACAGGGTTTGGAGTAGCACAAGTCGATCTCGGTCTCGCAGTAGTCTCCCGTGAAACCGGCGGGACAGCGGCAGCGCAGGCCGGCAATGGGGTGGATGGGCCTGAACAGGATGGTGTCGGATGCCACGAAGGGGGCCAGGCTGTCGAACTTGAGCACGGACACGCACTTCATGTAGTTCTCACAGGGCTCGCGCAGGCAAATGTTGTCATCAAAAGGCAGAACTTCCTGGGAGGAGATCTGAGCCAGAAGACTGCGGTTCAGGTACAGCCTCTCCTGGAGCTCCTCGGAGCCGAAAAACTCCGACCCTCCGCCTTCGGCCCCTCTCCCGGTACCGTCTTCTCCGTGCTCGCCGAGCACCGGAAGACGCTGGGCGGCGTCGCCTGGCACGGCCACGGACAGGCTGACGTTGAGGATGCGGGCGCTGACGTCGGTGTCGTCCTGAATGTTAAAGATGACGACGTCTTCGGGGGCTGCAGAGAGCACGCGGGCCACACCGTCCAGGAACTGAGTAAGCAGCAGGGAAAGGAAGTGCTCCTGAGAGGTGTTGGCGAGCCTCAGCGTGATGCTGTTGGACAACATCTCATCTGTGATGATTGTGACCTGAAGAAGGCACTGGGCTGACACGGAGTGTACGCCATCTACACAAACACACAAAGCAACATAATGTGTTTGTTAGTGAATATGTCACAACTGAAAAATCAAGTCTCATGCTGAGCCAAAAGCCAAGAAAAAAAAAAAAACAGCACTAATCTGTCCCTGAAGTTGGGATGTTGTGTAGTTTGGCAGAGCGCAAACAGTTCTTCAAAAAGAACGTTTGCTTGCTTCAAACCATTTATTGACGCACCCAGTTGAAGTTTACAGCAACCCTAACACAAATAAAAAAAGAACTACACATTATATATTTAAGCAAACACACAGCTTTGTGTTGGAGAAATCAGCTAGCGCTAGCTTAACGCCAGCACAAAATGAACACAATAAAATGTCTGACGAATAGCATCGATGTCACAGGACAACATTTATCGATTTGAGTGAATCTTACATCCCATCTTTAATAACATTTTGTGTTTTGAACAATATTTGATTAAAACAAAATATAATTATCATCATAATTACAAGACAATGTCACTATGAAGGATTGGTACTTCGTATCGGCAAGCTCTCAATTGAACATACTTGTACGCGTACTGAAAAAGGTGCTAGCACCGCATCTCTATCGAGTGCACAACTTTAGAAATGACGAAGCTTTTGAATCTTTGATGAAATGAAGTTGAAGAAATTGTTTTCCTTGACCAAAACGCACATGTGGTCCCCCTTCACCCTGTCATTTCCAAGAGTTGGCCATTAAAAAGCACAAAATAACCGGGCACCATTTTTGACCGACTGTGTGATGAAATTCAAGTTTTCAAAACAATAATGCGGATTAACACTCCCTCGCATGTCTATGTTCACTCATGCAAATGAAGCCAAACCAGAGTTCACTTGCAAACAAACGAGACCAACTCTTAAGTAGCAGGTTTCAAGTGATATTGTTCACACTTGACCGAATGAACCGCACCGTTGAAGCGATTGCGCTGAAGCCCCGAGCGCACCTGCCAAGTGTGAACACTGCCTACAATAGGACGACGCTTCTATGAAACACTTTCCTCAAATTCTCAGTTCAAAAGAAGAGTTTATCTCCCGCTATGCCTTCAACAAATGATAATAACGTACCCCAGGCCCAAGAAAGAACAAGCTTATGTTTCCTTTCATTACATCCCAACTCCTAATCAAGAATTTTACGCTTGCATTGAGTGCAAAATTCCTCCTTTCTTTGTCCGGAAGCAGAAATGCTTCTTCATTTTACATGCCAAGTCTCCAAGTTCAACAGTTGATGCGTTTCTCAGCCTTGGTCAATCACTTGTCTTGTCTCCTCTTGTCCCCATACCACATCGTGTAAACGTTCACCTTCAATAACTCCAATTGTTTGCTTTTCACCGCTGGTGTGCAGTCTTTTCAAGTCCGTCATGTCCAAAAGTGTAACGTTTGCGATGTGCCACAAAGGTAAATTTCAGCTTGTGTTTTTATTTATTTGCATCACTCGAATGAATTTTGAGAAACAGTTTGGAAAGATCATATAATCCAGTTTTTGGTGTATGATGTTGACATGATTTTGGGGTAGTGTTGTGTTGAAGTCGCCAGATGTTGATATTTTACTTCCTAAAAAGAGGTCATTTTTGACTGTATTGTTCAAGTTAATCTTGATGAAATTTCATAATAGGCCCTACCTCAAGTCCACAGGCAGCAAACACAAAACCAGTTCAATCAACTCAAACGTGTGGTGAAAACAGGCCCACCGCCTTCCCCACTCCCAAACAATCAATGGGCAGCTTTGTTTGAGGAGCCTGGACGCCGGCCACAGGGGAGAACCTGTGTGCACAACTCGCGCAAATAAACAGAAAACTTCCCAAAGTTACCAGATCACCATCTGGCATCGGGCGAGTTGAAAAAGTAGGATGCCAGGCGAGAGGGAGAGGCAGGACGAAGAAGAAGAGGAGGAAGAGGGGCAGGAGGGGGTTCTCAAAGAGGAAGCAAAACAGAAGCATGTTCGACACGGTTCTAATCCCTCTGTTTTCAGTCAAGAGCCTCCGACACAGCAATAATACATGGCCCAAGTGGAGGAAGTACAGAAACAAGCGAGACTAATTCACACTGTACTGTCAACACACGCGTACGTGCACACACTCCCACGCGCGCACACACACACACACACACCTGTGTACATGAGACAAATGCTTGCACATAAAGAAGAACAAATACTGTATAACCACAAAACACTGAATGAAGACCTTCAACAGACACACAAGTTCAACTGATGATTGCGGTAATGCCGAAACATGGCTTGCTATTATTTTTCACATTCCCCAAAAACTGGGAACACTTTTTTTAACTGAATTTTTGTACAGCTCTCGTTTTTTGCTCTTGCCTGCCCAGGGATCCTAACATTACGGCCGGTGAGCGTCCAAACATCGAAACACCAGTTATCACAAGGTCACATTGTGACAACACAAAACATTAAATAACCGAGGATACTCAGCAAAATAGCAAACGTTTGATCGCCTGCGCCCGCTTTCACCCGTTTCATCCATTCGTGCTTGTCGGTGCTATTTCGGTGCACCTTTGAGGCCAGCGTAACGACGAGTGTTGAACGCAGACAACAGGACAAGGACTTCTTTAGATTTTCTATTTATTGAAGAAGAAAAGTATACAAAAAAGGCGTTTCTTTGTTTCTCTTAATTTGTTTGTTTGTGGTTTGGTAAAAAGACGATATCGCTTCGGGCGTGAGCTGGCCTCATGTCCGGCTCACTCCTTCTCCGCAATGTTGCCAGTCGCGTGACGTGATAACAAGTAGTTCCGTCAAACAAATATTCTAACGAACGACAGAAATATTTTAAACAAATTGAATCTAACGTCTGCATAAAATAATAATGACAATAATCTCAATTTGGTTATGAATTATACCAATTGAACATGTCAATACTGCACGGCACATGGAACGCATCACAAAAAAATCGACCAATATTAAATTGGCAGCTACATTGCTCATTATGGCCGCGTTTCTGCAATGACAGTATAGCCCGATAAACAGCTCTCAGTAAAGAGGGGCTTTTAAAGGGTCGCCCGAGTATGAGGACAGACATGGCCTTAATTATGCCCTCTGCCAACGCGCATTCTTGGATGGAGGGCTCGGGCACAGCTCCAGGCGTGGATGCAACGCTGGGAAAGTGAGCACGAGGCGAATCTTCTCTGAAAGGAAGCAGACCATCCTTCAAATGGGTCATTCTCCATGGAAGGATTCTCCGCGCAGGAAGAGGGAGGGGGAAGCAGGGCCTTTTTGGGCCAAATGAGGGACATTTAGATCCCAGACCTGGAGTGTGACGCTGCTTTCACTTTGGACCTTTGTGGGCTTCTGGGAGCCTCTCGGCTACAAAGTGGCACCAGGGAAAAGATTAAACGCACAGTGTGGTTTTGGGACGGCCCATGGCAGTACACGGAACCAAGTGTGTGCATACGTGTGTTCATGCACACATCGAAATATGTAAGCAGGTGTGGTTATTTGACATTTAAGTTATGGAAAAGACAAAGCTGCCTGTTTATAGAGTTCTTGACCGAATTATACTATTTGATTGTGATGTCAAATCACAGATTTTGCTTGTTGCTGACTGTAAATGTCTCAATGACAAGAAAGATTAAAGTTCTGGTCAGATGGGCCATGATTATACACAGTTCTTTGCAAAGCAGTCTTCATGTTGACATCGATAATTACGGAGGACAAAGCATTTTCATTGCAGCATTGCTAAAACAACAAATGTGACTTTTACACAGTAGTATATGAATACATATATCCTTGCGGGTAATACTATATTTAAGTCTTCAGGAGGGCTTAATGGTCGTGATAATTGCCTGCTGAGGGACAGGCAGTGAGAGAGCGAGCGAGAGAAAAGAAATCGGGGAGACCAGCCTAATTAGTCCACAAAGTTACCGTCCAGTGTCCCAGCGGATTCCCAGAAAATGTCAACCAAGTCATGGTGGATGAAGAGCAGAAAGGCACTGTGACCAAATGGCGGCGGAAAGAGACATCAGCAACCACCACGCATCGTAGTAACTCACAGGCATCTTTAAAAGGCCCCCTCTCAAAGAAGATGTCAATGATCGAAAGCTTGACTCTATATTAGTTTTTCGCGGATGGTTGTATTCATGGAAATGATAGACATACACTCACGTTACAGATACAAATTGTGTGTGTGTGTGTGTGTGTGTATATATATATATATATATATATATATATACACATTTTTCGAAAAATTTCTATACATTTGCAGTCGACAAAAAAAATGTTCTGATACCACAACATCGATATCATTTTAGGACAATAACTGGCACAGACCCACTTTCAAAATCTATTTTCTTCCATTTTTCACTGCTTTGGACACAGCAAGTGAGTGGTTTGAGTGTGAAACTCTTTCGGCAATTGTACGTCCAAATCACAGATCCGTGGCGCACACGGCAATCGGACACACAACAGTGTTGACCTGAGAGAACAGTCCCTTTGGGGCCATTTTGATTTCATTAACAACCAAATACTTGAAGCGGCCTCTAATGCGATATATGTATTACTTAGTGGGAGTGCTCTATGTCCTTTTACAGACACAACATTACTTAACGGGTAGGAAACGTGATGTTTTTTATGGCTACTTTGTGAGTAGTGCTTAGAGGTGCTGAGGCTTGTCAGCAAAGGGCCAGCTGAACTATCCAACTGTAAATCTGGTCAAGTGTTGTTGCTTTAGGCAGTACACTTGTTTAGAGATCCAGATGAGGGTTCCACATTTTCCCCGGGGCCATCCCGCAGTGAACATAGTTTGATAATTTTAATTCGTATTTAGTTTTCGTGACCTGACTCCGACTCAGCAACAGTGTGAATGTGAGCGTGAGCGTTGTCTGTCTCCATATATGTTCCGTTCCCAATCCAGAGTAGCTTGCCCCGTTTGCCTGATGTCAGGTGTACGCTTCAGCTCACCACAACCCTTGCACAAGCAGCAGCGACTGCTAACCGGAGAGCCTGCAGCAGTGTGACCGAGTTAATCCCAGAGCAGCAGCAGCA